GGAGCCTAAAATGCAACCCTGGCACGGTTTTGCCGCAGGGTTTTTCTGCACATTTGGGCACGGTCATGAGGGGTCGGAGCCTAAATTGCAACCCTGGCACGGTTTTTTTTCGACTCCGCCCACTTTCCCCGGTTTTTTTTCCCCGGAAATTGCGGGGTCTCCCGGAGAAAATTCCATGACTGCAAGCGCGCCCTGGCGCATGACCGTTTGCTCACTTTTATCTCGAACTGGAACGGAAACTTTAAAAATTGGTATAAATTATGTTATCAATTAAATTCAATTTAAATCGCGGAAACTAAAAAACACCTCTCTTTGAAATATAGGAAAAATCAATTTTAGCACAACATGGTGAGGAAAAAGCAGTGTGCCGCTCTTGTAAAGCTCTACGATAGGGAAATCATTCGATGTTTGGAACCGATTTATCGAGAACCTGAAAAGGTAAGATTTTTGAAAAGGCGAATAACACCGCTGGTTGTTTCAGGGAGAACATTTCGATGAATTGCTTTCCCGCGGACGAATAGAAGAGCTAATAGGAGAGTACGAAGATACTACAAGTTTCTCATCCCAGTTGTTCCATGAACTTCAAGAAAGTCCAATTTCGAAAGCAGATGATGAGAGGCTTTATAAAAGTGTTATGTCATTTCTACAAGCGAATTGTGAGTCGAAAATTAAACTAGTCAGTCATTTAAAAGTTTAATTTCAGTTACTGATTCGCATGTTCACAAACTACTAAAATGTTCCGATAGGACGATGAGAATGTGTCAATATGGGTTAATAATGGAAAATATGTAAACAATGCCTAACGTTGATTTTCAGACTTATTCTGAACCATTTGGATGGTTTTATCAATTACATGGACCCAAATGAAGTACTGACTTACCTCGATTCCTATCCCCAATACCAGGATATAGTTCGAGAACTACGAAGAGAAACAGAGAGAATAGTGCCAGAAGAACAACAACAAAATACGGAATTTTTGAAAAAATCGATTCTAAGAATTGTTCCACTACTCGGCGAGTCGTCTGCATACGATGTGATGTATGCAATCTATGACAAGCCATCGAATAATTTGAATGAGGAGGCTAGAAATTTCATTGAAAAGATTCTCCGTCTAAGACCAGGATCGTTTGATGCATTCTACAGTGAGTGGTCCAAATGGGAGTAATATCAACATTAACCAAACATTTAGGAGAAGTCAGTGATGATCGCAGAAGATTCAATGGAAACATTTTCATCTGTCCGATCAATGAAATCGCTACAGAAATGATTGCACGGATTCCAGAAGTGAACAGACATCGTTATAGGTGAGCGTTGGCACTATTAGGTGTCTCTAGTTGATATTGATAACACATCGTGTTTCTAGAGACCTTCCCTATATTGCTAACACTAAAACGTAGGAGAATTGTGAGCGAGTAGACTCAGACAATCAAACGTCAGGGGGTCTGACAAAAATGCTTTCAATACCAATTTTTTCTTCTCTAGCTGTTTTTTTCCTTTCAGAATGATCAACATCCGATATGACAATATCCAATCAGAACCACCGGTTCCACGTCTCATCGTAGAATCCGTCAGGAACAGAATCCACTTGCGTAAGACCTCGACAGAGCACCGAGCCAGTTCGAATTCCAATTTTCAGAACGCCAACTATGCTTGCGAAGATATCAGCTGGAACTGTGTCAAGTGGCTCTTCGCGGAGAAAACACCATTGTAACAGCTCCAACGGGATCTGGAAAAACTGTCATTGCTGCGAACATTATCAAAAATCATTTCGAGACAAGAGATAGAAATGGGCAACGATTCAAGGCATTGTTCATGACACCGAATTCGATGATTTTGAAGCAACAGTCGGATAGCATATCTTCATATCTGGACCATTCTTATCAAGTGAGTCTGAAGCGTCAGAGACTGGTTCTTAAATATTATAACATTTGGAGGTCCAAATCGTTCAAGGAGCCGACAATCTTCCTGTTCGAAACGCGGTTCAGACGAAAGATCTGATTGTGGCGACTCCTCAAATGATCGTGAATCTCTGCAATGAGCATCGAGATGTGTTGAAAACTGAAAATGAAATAGGAATAGAGCAATTCTTTCTCTCAACATTCACTATAATCTTCTTCGATGAGTGTCACAATACAATGAAGAACACACCGTATGCTAGTGAGTGCTTTCCAACTATTCCAGTCATTATGATAAATTTTTCAGATATCATGAGAGAATATCACACTCTGAAAAACATGGGAAATATGCCAGACGGTCATCATCTGCCTCAAATCGTTGGCCTTACGGCCTCACTTGGAACTGGTGACGGCAAGAACGTTTTAGGAGTCAAGGAGCATATTGCGAATCTGTGCGCGATGATGGATGTTAAGGAATTGAGCACAGTTAGAGAGAACACAGAGGAACTTCAGAATTATTCGCCCATCATTCCTGACCGTGAGATTTTGAATAGAAATGACGAGTTTTTGAGTTTTTGTTATTTCAGAAGTTAGCTATTGTGAGCGAAGTACCGACGGAGCGATTGGAGAATTCACAAAATGGTTGTCTGATATGATGATAGAAGTTGAGAACTTGATCAAAACAGCACTCGGTAAGAATCCCCCTGATTGCCCAGATATTTAAAAATATTGCCTTTTTCAGATGAAGAGAATATCCCTATCCAAAATGTTCAACAAAATGTACAAAATTCTCTTTTTGATGATCGACCATATCGACCGGCGGAAAATTTCCAATCAGCTCCGAATGATAAGGAACATCCCGGATATTTGAATTGGGCTTGCAATCAGATGAATCTAGTTTGCACTGCTAAATTCAACAGAGATGGAACAAAAATTATCATCAATGAGGCATTGGAAGTATTGAAGGTAACTACTGTGTGCGCAGATGTTCGAACCTTTACCAGAATCATTTTCTAGGAGTGTTACTGGACTTTATCCTACAACGTAAATTTCAATCCGGAGGTTGCACTGCGATATTTGAAAAGTGAGCTCGAGTCGCGATCAGCAAACTTCACACATCATATGTCGAGAATATGGGAAAGTAAGTTTCAATTTTTGCTCCTTTTACTATGCATCGAAATATCAGGATACCACAATCACCTACTAAACTCTGGGACTGCTGAAAATCCAATGATTGAAAAAGTCGAGCAATTTATTGTTGATCAGAACGAGCAACGAGGAGATTCACGATCGATCATTTTTGTTCGAACACGTTACGAGGCGACGATTCTGAACGAGATACTCAACAAGAGGGAAACACTGGAACGACTGGGAATCAAGTCAGAATGGATTTCTGGATTGAACAAATCCACGTCTTCAAGCGCCGATATCAGCGCTTCGAAACAAAAACAAATGGAGAAGTTGCGAAAGTTCGCTACTGGAGAAATCCGAGTTCTCGTGGCAACTTCGGTTGCAGAAGAAGGTTTGGATGTTGCCGAGTGTAATCTGGTCATCAAATACAACTATGCCACTAACGAGATTGCTCATGTTCAAAGAAGAGGTATGTAGAAAAGAACTAATTTTTAAAGTGGTGTAGTTGTTTCCAGGCCGTGGTCGTGCGATGAATTCAACATGTGTCCTCGTAACGAACAGTATACCACTTCGAGATCAGGAAGGAGCGAATCGAGATAAAGAGAATATGATGAACCAAGCTCTTTTGAAAATCACTACAAACCCTGGTGCCTTCCGAGACGCTGTTATGGCTGAAATAGGAAATATCTGGAATCGAATTCAACGAGAGGATACTGAAAGAGCACGACAAATTGCCGAGCAAATCAGTCGAAATGTAACGTATCGAATCGTTTGCAAAAAATGTGACGTATTCCTATGTACGAACAGCGACATTCGCGCAAGAAATACTCAGTATTTGGTTTGTAGACCTGAATTCTGGACGCTTGTTCAAAAAATCAAATTGACGCCTGGAGAAATTGCGACGAATAAGTTTCATTCAACGGGAATGGTGCGAGGATACCTTCTGAAACTACTATTTCCGTTTCCGTATTTTTTCAGATCAAATGCCTTGGAACCAACTGTGGAGCGATCCTTGGACGATTGATAGATGTCACTAATACGGAACTACCTTGTTTGTCTGCAGAAGGTATGTGATATTTTGTCAGAAGCTATGAAATACTATAATTGCAGCGATTGTTTTGATCAATGAGCATGAAGATAAAAGAATTCAGGCCAAAAAGTGGAAGAAGGTATTTTCCAATTCAGAGACAGTTTTCACAAATCTTTCGTGTTCAGATTCTCTCCGATCATTTCACGCCTGTTGAGATACGACAACTCGATATCCAGAAAATGAGAGATGCCAATCAAACGAGAACTCCGCTGAATTTCGAACTGAATCTCAACGGAATTCTGCAGAATATTATTCGAGAAGCATGAATTATCTCTTCATATTTAATTTACTACTTTGTTTCAAATTCCCGAGTATTATCTACTTCCGGTTTTACGATGTACATTTTTGCTTTTTCAAACTGTGTTGCTTTCTACTTTCAAATTTTTTTCATGTGTAACAAATTCTTTCAAATATTGCATTTTCAAGACTTTTTAAAATGTTTTTAAAAAACCAAATTTAAAAGTCCAAATCGGTTATTCTTCCACAAATTCAGCTAATTCTTTATGACTTGTAGTCTTGTTTTTCACCCACATTTGTGGTCTGTATGATGTAGTCTATAGTTTCTTGATAAGACGACCATCTTATCAAATCATTACCTCAAGTTTTTTTCGTCGTTTTTTTTCAGTCATTTAGTTTTCTGATTTAGTCGAGTGATGTAATATCTACTTTTTCAATCACTGTTCTCTTGATTTTTTTTGAAGATGTGAGACAAGAATAGGCTTTCCATGATGGTCGGGTAGCGAACGGGTAGCTGCTACCCGCCCGTACCCGTATCCACCAGCTACCCGCCCGCTTGCTACCCGGAACTTTTTGTGTTTGCAGACAATGCGCGAAATTTGCCGACACTTCGATTAAAATTGTTTTCAAATGATTTTTTTTGACAATCTTTGTCGCTTATTAGTGTAGAAAATAGTTTTAAAGGTGGAGGGACATGAAAAAAATAATGTTCTCGAAATTCCGTTCAAAGATGCCCCTCGAGGAGTTGAACTTGTGAGGGCGAAGATTGAGGGTGCGGCGCCGCTACCGACTGAGCCACGCAAGCAAAGAGAAAGCGCACGCCCGATTGCATACATAAAGGCGAGGACGACAGCTGTACGCAGAGTGGCATTAAGCGTTGTACACCGTGACGGTAGAATGCATACTCTAGCTACAAAAAAACTACGAAAAATCTCCTGTCCCCCCACCTTTAAAGTGAGAATAAAAATAATTCAGGTATGAAAATTCATCAGTCAGTAAAAATGGACGAATTTGTTTCGGAAAGAAACCGAAAAATGCGCGCGAATTGTCGTAAAGTTGCGCGCATTGTCTGCAAACACAAAAAGTTCCGGGTAGCAAGCGGGTACGGGTACGGGCGGGTACGGGTAGCTGCGGGTACGGGCGGGTATATCGCTACCCGCATGGAAACCCTAGACAAGAAGTTTCAAAATTTTGGAATCTTCAGAATTTTTCGGCATTCAAATGTTAAAGTAGAAATTATATTTCCCCATCACAAAATTTCCAAAAAATGATGAAAAATTGACAAGAAGATTCCTAAAACGCAAAATAAAGTCAAAATTAATTCCACTCGAGACCCACAAGCAACCGTTTCGCTTTCGCCTCGGCATACCGTAGTCTAAAAATTTCTAATTAAACAAGCTTCAAAAGCTGAATTTTCGGATTTCCAAATTTCTGATCCATAAATTCTGCGAGATTAGGGTTGGCTTGGGGGCGAAATGGGGCGATCCCCGCCCCGAGCGCGCGGGGCGGGGATGCGCCCCCGCCCCGGGAGAGCGGGGCGGGGATTCACCCTTGCCCCGGGAGGCGGCATACTTTGCGTAATTACGCGTAACTGAATAGACCAATTGACTTGAAACTTTCAGGGTAGCCTAATTGGGTACCCTGAATCGTAAAAAAATCTAAAAAATTGTGTTACTGCTTCATTCAACAAAGTGCTTTTTCAACAGGCGGGG